GGGGGCACATGCCAGAGAGTCACTTCCTGTTCCCAGGAAGCCGCCGGTGCTGAATGCCAAACACCAAGCGACAGCGAATTATTCAGACAGTTCGGTAACCATGGCGACATAATACCCGTGCATCCATCAGTAGTATGCAGCTTTCACGCGGCTAAGACACACGTAAACAAACTCCTTGCTGGCAAAATTGGGCCTGTTTCATGCATGCTTTTTTTTCAGGTATAGAAAATGATGAAGAAATTAAACAGTTGGACGAAGAAATCAAAGATTTAAATGAATCTAATTCACAAGTGGAAGCAGATATGATTAAACTTAGAACACAGGTAAGATGTGTGTGTGTGTGTGTGTGTGTGTGTAATTGCAGGTTGATAATAATAAATATACAACCTTGACTGGCATAGGGTGACCATATTTTGGCTTTTGAAAGAGAGGACGCTGGGGAAAGGGTGTGAAGAGCGGCGTCTAAGCAACACAATCATGTACATAGAAAGTGTTCTGACCAGATGGCAAATGTCAGCATGAATAAACAAAATCCCAGAGATTTCAGACAATTGGGTGTGATCACCCTTATTGACAGGAATATCAAGTGTATTACGCTAACAGTGCCTGTACAGTACTGTTCAGAATGTCATCTGATGTTCTTGGCTTCTGGTTCAGTGTCCATGGCTCTTATAACCCTTAGACATCACATGTGCAGTTTTATGGCGCCGACTTTCTACTGATTCCGTATTTTAAGGTGGACGGAGGGGCTTTTGAATTCAAAACAATTGATGTAAACAGTGTCTTCTTGCCCAGACAGCCTGGCTGGATGAGTTTAAATTCTCCTTCCAAAGACTCTGTCGCCTTTCTGTGAAAAGTTTGAAACTCTCCCCGAAAATGACTTATTTTATGAATAAACCTTTTAAAAAAGGCTGCTGATTATTCAGGAGAGGAGCGAGCTCAGGTAGCATGGTGTTTCAGGCGGGGAAATGCGACAGACCTAATTATAATACAGCGCGCTCCTAGGGAGTCCCGCTGGGGAAGGCGCGCGGACGCTCGCGGCGAGAAGCAGGCCGAGCCGTCACTCGGAGCGTTCAAAAGACGCCCGGAAGCAGGAATGGGGGCTTCAGATCTGGCTCGACGGGGGCTTCCTCAGTGTGCTTCCGCATCGGGGACGGCGCCGGAACGCTGTCACGGCAAAAATGAAAAGCAGGAGATGAGGGGGCGTGATCGCGTATTCGGCTGCGACCTCGTTTCATGCATTTTCGCACATGTAGTTCAGAGAGTGGAGAGGAGAGAGGGAAAAAAAACTCGCTCTGTGCTAAATTAAACACTGATTGCAGTTTGAAATGGCGTTGCCTGCAAATGAAAGAAGTAAACAGGCCTTTCAGAGACCTAGGATTCATTAATTAAGGCTCTGGCTGAAAAAGGTCTTTCACAAACAGCAGTTCTGAATTATGACAATTAGTAGTTACATTGGTTGAAAATACTGTTTCAGTTTGTTCTTTTTTCCATTAAAATCCTTGCTTATGTATTTTCTTTATATGTAAAATGTATTTCAAGGCAAGTGATGGGAGATGTGAGGCTTTGAAATCCTGTGGGCTGTGCTTGTCAGTCATTAGCCCCAGGTTCCGCCCACCTTGTTACTCCCAAGGCACACTACTTGGGGGGCATGGTCTTGTCTTGTGCCACCTGACGGAGGTCTGTGGATCTCTCCTGTTCTCTCCCCCCTTTCTAGATTACCACAATGGAGTCTAATCTGAAGTCAATAGAGGAAGAAAACAAGGTGATTGAACAGCAAAATGAGTCTCTCCTGCATGAGCTGGCAACCCTCAGCCAGTCACTGATAAACAGTTTAGCTAATATCCAGCTGCCACATATGGTAAGGGCCAAAAAGAGCGGAACCTGGGCAAGTTATGGAACGTAACAGAACATGGCACGTGGCTTTGTGATTATGGGGGGCCAAGGGTTAGCACTGTTGCATGCTAAATTATTACCAGTAAAAACTGAGTTTACAAATACTCTTTCAAGTAGTAAAATGTGTATTTTGGGGGTGGGGGGCAGGTATAATCTAGCCAAATTATCTTTTATGCAAAGCCTGAGGGGGACATTGAAAATGACCACTGTGATCCTCTTTCAAATTATTATCAATTCATTTCTACACACAGAGAACGGTTTTACGGAAAAGATGACAGACCAATATATGCGGATTTCAGTCTTGGATGGTACTATTTCTGGAAGCCAGCGGGTGGGGGGTGGATTGTTTTTGGTGCTACCTTTCCAGTAGGGGAGGGTACAGTTGGGGCTTTTGGTGGAGGATGGGTTGGGATACAGATTTGGTGAATATTGCCTTTCCCACAAGAAATGAGGTAATGCTTCCTGCTTCCACATATTTCTGCTCTTAAGAATCAGCAGCCACATGTCCATTTCTAAAGAGTAATGGGCACCTACCCTCCCGGCACTGGCACCTAATCATCCCCGAGAGTAATATACTGCCCATACAACAAAAGACCTGTCAACCAATCCATTGCCTGCTTTGATATGTTTCGGAGCACCATCTGGACAGTTCCACCACCACTTCCTGTTGGTGATAACAGTCATGTGTTTGCCCTTGGACAGCAACCAATTAAAAGTGCATGTCTGGCATATTATATAAAGGACCACAACAGTACTAAAACGTATCACCCCCTTTCTCGATTATGGACATCAGTTATCTCTGTCCTCTTTTCACTATTACATATCTCTGTGTGTAGGTCTCCAGTATGCTGAAACTTACTTTTTTTTGATGAATGGCGTCTAGTAACAACAAATTAAAAACAAAATTGGACTTTTCTGTGGAGTTTTCATAGATTCTCATAGCATATGCAATGTTATGTTATGTTTTGTAATTGCAAGTCTATATGTAACAACAGTATTTTGAAGGCATGACAAAAAAAACAGCTTTTTTCCATAAGCATTCATTTTAATTTTTTCCTTATGTTTCGAAAGATCTAGAAACAAAGAAAATAGAGGTAAACTAACATGACAGGTCCAATGAAAAATGATGGGAACCAGTTTCATCCACAAACTGTTCAGTAACTTATAGCAACTGAACACAAGATCAATGTGCAGAGGGACAACGGCAAGCGGCGCACCGTGCAAAGCCTGCGCTCTTAAGGGAGACGACAAGTCGAACATCGAAATTGAACATCGTGTTAATGCATCATTCGGATATTGCCAGAAACCCACGGTGATGTGGGGTGTGCTGGTAGTTTTTTGAGGTGTTGAAGTGAAGTTAAGCCCCATGTGACCTTGGTATCTCAAGCATGGCCTTTCTTAGTGTGGGTTAAGTGCTGCATCTTCTCGACAGTATCGTTGCCCAGTCCGGCCCCGCTCCACGGCGATGCACCAGCCTGGTCCCCTAGGCATTGCGTAAACAGGTGCTAGCAGGTCATAGTTGAACACCCCTGATGTTAGGCACCAGCTGTTCCCGACGGCACCATGTGGCGCAGCAATATAAATTAATAAACCGGTCTAAGCCCCAAGCGTCACAGGGAATTGTACCCAACCACAATCTTAACCACTCTGCTGTGGTTTTGGTGTGCATAATTAAATAATTATGGCCTAATAGGGTAAATTTGATTCCTGCTCTAAAATTAGGAAGGACTAACAAAATTTATCGTGTACTGTCCCTCTGGCATTGCCCCATGTTCAGTTCATCATATAGCGCATGTAGACTAATACCATCCAAGCTGTGTATCTGCTGAAACGCCCCTTAGGGATGCAGTTTAAGCCCATCTTAAAATACATGCACCTCAGATATACTGTCTGCCTGACAAATTGTACCCACCCCCCCGCCCATCCCAGAAGAATCCGAGTCCTTAGGTTTCATTTCAGTTGGTCTGTTTGTTCAGTAAACATCAGGAGAGTGCATTCTGGAAAAAGGCAATCCTGGTGATCCTGACTGTTCTGTGAGCTGGATCCAGTCACAGGAGCCATTGCAGTGACTCACTTTGGGGGGTTTTCCTTCGTTTGCTTGTTTATGTCTTTCGTCATGTATTTCTTTACAGATTCGTTTGATTTCTCACCTTATGTGTTCATTTGTTTGTTTATTTTGGTAGATGCTCTTGGTACTCTGCATTACGATAAGGGCCCCTCCCTTCCTGATCCCCCCCCCCCAACCCCATCCTAGAGGCTGACTACCCCCCCTTCCATTGAGATGTGAAGAAAGGACCTTTTGGACATCAGGCTAATAGATCTTTGTTTACACCTTTCCCGTAGAAACCATCGCCACACAAAGAGGCTTCCCTTAGAAATAACAGCTGTTTACAGTTGCATCAGAGAGTAAGAGACAATAATTTTCATAGTCTGATTATCCTTTTGTTTCCAACTTTAAATCTTATTGTTTAAAATATATATGTATTGTATAACGGAATTGCTGTTAAATTGCTTTTTTGCCATGTTAATTTCTTTTGGGGCGTATTTGTGTATCTGTTTCAGTGTCAGATTATTAAGGTGGACGGTCCTGGCAAAGTGACCAAGCACTTGCAAACGTATGATTTTATTTAGGGCCCATAGAGTCGTGTCTCTCTAAGAGTAACTCAGCGGCTCACTGAACCCAAGGCTGTAGTTTTCTCATCGCTGTTTAGTTTTTGCATTTGCCATCCATGCAGCATGCACATGTGTGTATCTGTGTGTGTGAGGTAGCGGGCATGAAACGGCGGGGGGGGGGGTTGGGGGGGCGAGCGGGGTATTCATCGATTCCTCCGGTTTCTTTTAACGTTGCGAAGGTTTCTTTTTCCCAATCATCACATCATGCCACACAGTCTCCATCTCTCCCTGAATGAGCTGCTTCACCTTCTCCCCATCTACCCGAATGGAAAAAGCTTGTTTTAAAGAGACAGTGTGCATTTGCTGGGCTAATCTTCTGTCCGAACCCCTGCCTGGCGATGTTCAAATGCATATAGTTCACATATTATGCATTTCGGCTTTCTTTTTGGATGTGTCTCTTCAACTAATTGGTTTCTGCCGAATTTATAGTGCAAAACTTGTTTTCTATGATACAGATGTCTTTTTGCTAAATGCTAATACAGAGTAATAGTATACATAGTGTAAAAGCTACAGGGAGAGTTCTTAGTCAAAACAGGCATGAATACACATAATACTGTCAAACAGCACCAGGGACCTGATGCGATCATTGGCAAAAAGCAACCTTTATAGTCGTTTCCCCACCTCAAAACCATTGTGGTGCTTCCTGATTAAAAAAAAGTTTGGCTTGCGAAGTTACATAAATAGCATGACCGCTGTGTGTTGCCATGACAACTGTGTAGTCATTTTCTCCTCAATGTGGACCTCATTGCATGACATCTCTCTGCGTGGACCACCCTTCAAAGTCTCCCACCCTTGTAGTGCTCTCCCTGCTAGAAATATGAGTCTAACATTATCCTGTGTTTGTCCAAAAAAAAAAAATAAAAGAACACGCACCAACTGGTCAGTAATACTCATGAAGCTAGGCCGTGTTGAATGCATGTTAGGTTCATTTTGTTGCTTAATTTTTCAAAAATAAAATTCACAGATAAAATATGTAGTGGCTTAAAGATTGAAATAAGTGAATCTCATGGTGTTTCTTGTCTGACCTGCTGCCCTGTGACCTGGCTTAATTCTGCTCTTCTGAAATGTTTCACAGGAGCCGATAAATGAGCAAAACTTTGACGCTTACGTGACCACGTTGACAGACATGTATACGAACCAGGATCAGTACCAGAGTCCGGAGAACAAGGCGCTGCTGGAGAACATAAAACAAGCAGTGCAGGGAATCCAGGTGTAGCCACGGCATCTGTGGCGAAACCACTCCTCCGTCGAAAGCAAACGACAGACACACAAAAGAGAAAACACTAACGATTAAACAAGGGCAATGCCTCGTGGTTTGCTGCTGTAATTTATCAGACAGTATTAAAAGTTCATTTCTGTTCTTTAAAAATACAAAAGTGTTATGCTTACAAAACTTCATAATGATTTTTTTTGTCTTGTTTTAAAAAAATAGTTAACAGCAGACTAGTTTTTGAAAACATTCACATTTTGTACGTTTTCATATGAGCTGACCTAGTGCGATGTAATCTTTATAGCTGCTACTGGATGCACATTTTTAGTGTATATATCTGAACAGTAGGCCGAGAAATATGACAGATTCTTCTTAATGCTTTGAAGCATTTTAGACTCGAACTAAGATGGGGGGCAGGTGAAGGAAAACAGACAGGAGACAAGTTGAAGTTGGAGACCAGTTTTTAACAATCTTTTTTCCTTGGATGATTTTATGAGATTTTAAAAAGATGTTTTGTGCGCAGATTGTCAAATAGCGAGACTTGGTTGTAAATTGCTTTATTTTTTAACAATGCTTGAAAAATCTTTGTCTTTTGTTTAAAATGGTTGGTAGTGGCAGGTGGGGGCATTTAAAGATGGTAGGCGATGTATATGAAAAGTACCTGACTAGATGTATGAATGTTACAGTTTTATTGTAAACATCATGACACGGAAACTTAATGGTGGCAATCCCAGAATCTAGAAAGGACTATTTTCTGATGTTTAAAACAAAAAAAAAAGGAAAAAAAAAAAAACACTTTTAACATTCTGTGTTGTTAGATTCCCATCGTCATTCAGTCAACAACTATGTGATGTTCAATGGCAATAGAAAAATCTAGGTGTCATGCTGACATTAGAATCAGTTCTTTTCAATCTTGAAACTTCAGTAGCTAGAATCGGACAATGTTTCAGCAATATATAAAGACTAAATCACATATTTATAGATGTGGGATGCAATCTACATAAACAGTTTGGGTATATGCAATTTCTTATTTATAAGCATAGTGGAAAACTAATGAATCTTTTTACTATATGTAAAATATTAATTTTTATATAAATCTTTTAATACAAAAAACATTTAAAAAAATGAGACGTGGACATTGAGTTAAATGAAAGAACCTTTATGATTTGATTTCCTTTATGTAATTTTGCACAGGATCACCTTCGTTTCCATGTTTTGATGTTTTTACAGAAACTAAAGCAGTACGTGAGAGCCTAAAATGAGGAAAAGGGGTTTTGTAAAGAAAAAAAAATATATATAGCTATAGTTTATGAAAGCGGGACTAACAGGGTCACTGTCCCCAAATATGTGCCAGAAGAATATTTGCACTTGTCCAATAGATATATCCTAACGTGTGGGGGTGTGCGATTTCCAGGTGTCCGCTTGGCACACGATTGGAACAGTAGGAGACACTGTAGGTAATCAAGAAGAATCACTGATGGATACTACAGGGATTTTGAATTGAAATATTATGAAAATAATAATAATAATAATAATAATGGTACCAGTAATAATATGAACTATAAACCATTGTTTTACTTCATTTTGGTTTGTATTATGAACAAGAAGAAATCAGCCCAGCAGCACTTTATATCTAATCACTGTACAAAATCATTAAATGGTAAATAATGGGAAAAAAGATTTAAAAAAGGAAAAAAAAGACTCCAGTTTCCCTAACAAAATCTATGGCTGGGAAATGAACTCTGTAGTAAACTCTGGGGTAATGCAGAATCATGTCTGTGTGGCCCCCACTTTCTGTTGTGCTATTAGTTGTAGCTACCATGTTCAGAATTGCCTTTTTGCGAGCTAACGCAAAGGTGCTTGTCGTTCACCAGATCTCACGTATTGTACTTTCTGCCACCTTATAGGGTCCCATTCCTCCATGATGGCATTAGCCTTTTTTCCACAGCATCGTGTCTGCAGCTTTTTGCCAGTAAAGTAATGCTTTCAGTAGAGTAATAGCTAGTATCAGTTTTTGAATTAATTATCGTTATCAGTACAATGGAAAGGGAATTTAAGCACAAACTTGCTGCTCATCTACTGTTGGTACATAATATCAAATTTTAAAAAAAGTTAACTATCTGTGACTATTTACATACGGAACACAAAAGGTGTCACATATTAGACTGAATTTTCATATAAATTATTGTGAATTCATCAGAGTTTATTTATTCTAACTTCTTCATTTTGAAGTTGATTTAAGTAATCATTAATGAAAACAGGATTTTGTATAAACTATTGTGCTCTCTGTGGAACTGAAGTTTAATTTATTTTTGTACTGCACAGCATGGATTTGTTGACATTTTAATTTTGCTATAAATGTGTGAGATCACAAGTTGCTGTGATATTTCATTTTTAAATTGTGAACTTTGTACAATTTTTGTCATGCTGGATGTTGACACATCTTACTCTGAATAAAGAAAAATTGTGTTGCCACATGTCTGTTACTGTCTTGTTGGGTTCTATTAAATTTGTTGCTGGTCATGGGAGTTTACTATGAATGCTGTGCATTACAGCTAACACTGAAGAAAACATTAATCAGGGTTGAAATGTAACTGTTCTTGAGTTAAGTCCTAAGAAAGATTAAATAAAATTAAGGAAAAAAATTAAAGCTTAAAGGGAAAACGTCTCACAATAACAATTCCTTACTTACTCTGCCTACCCGGAATTATTTGTAGAATCAAATGAATGAGGTATCCATAAAGTAAGGAAACAAACTATGACACATGATAGAGAATCTTTTGGAGATAATTAAGTGCGTATATTAACCGTATACTAACCCACTGGTATATTAGTACCAGCGTGTTTTATGTACAGTAGTCTACCACTAGAGGGCACCAAAAGCCTTCGTATTTGAGCACAGCACGCATACTAACATAGGTAAGAAGTACATTACGGGAGGGAAAGAAAGCTTGTAAAAAGTTGGAAAAGTTCACTGAGAGTGTGATGCAGATAATAAATATGTGTTCTTAAGGATAAACAAAGATAACCAGTTATCTTTTCTCAGTAATGAGTTGTCCTTTCGCTGACGGTGGAATCATAGATTGTGAAAAGCCACTGCAAGGGACTGGACATTAGATCTTACCATGTCAGGGTCAAAATAAATTGTAATATAATGGTGAGCAAATCTTACACCACGTTTGCGCACTGTTTATGCTATGTCAGAACATTTTCTCAAAAATAATCATTTGGAAAAAAGAAAACTGAGACCGACGGTTAATGAGTAATAAGTTGATTATAACACAGGCAACGCACGCACACAAGTAGGGCATAGAATGCTGCGATCACTGAAAACACCGTAATTTTGCGCTTTGAAGAACGCAGCCTCCATCTGGCTCGCTGTCCCGTCAATCAAGCGCGGTAAGCCCGCCCCTGCCTGTCCCGGTCTGCTGGGCCAGCGGGCTCAGCGCTGCGCTAGAAAGGCAGACCCCGGTTATCCGGCGAGAGCACAGGCAGGCGGCGCGCTCTCAGCACGGCGATGGCGCTGCGCACTGGCCGAGTCTTTACTTTATCGCTAACGTTAGTGGTCTTACTGGTCGCTGGTAGCCCGCAGCTCTCCCTGTCGTGTCCAAGCCGCTGTCTGTGTTTCCGCACGACCGTCAGATGCATGCACTTAATGCTGGAGACTGTACCTGCCGTGCCTCCGCAGACCACCATCCTGTAAGTACCCTTACACGGGGGGGTGGGCGCAACAAGTGGACTTATTTGGACAAGTTAGTGTCTCCATCTTTGCTCTGTATTCCGTATTATACTCCTCTGGATACTTCTTTAAAAAAAGATAATCAGCTTAATAATGCCTTTTATGATATATAATGTCGTGTTTTGGGAATGGCCGCATGAACCCCTAATAACCAAAAGATTTACCGGAGCCAGTCAAATAGGAAACAGTTGCCTTTCTGTGTCTCACAGAGCGTTTGATTTCGGATTACCTCCGCTCCATTGTGGTGAGACGCTCCTGTCCCGCTAGCTTCTTCTGTTCTTTTGCTTTTCCTTCATGTCCTTGCTGGGGGGGTTGGGGGGGGGACTCTGCATGACCCATTTGAGTCTCTTACTACACACAGCTATACGGTGCCTTAAGTGGCGCGGTCGGAGGTCTTCACAGATGTGCACAGATGTGAGCGCCTTACTCTTTTTCACATTGTTCGGCAACATCTTCAGCTTCTGACCGGGGGTATTCCGGTCATTCTGAATAAGGCTGATCTTGTCAGCTGTTTTATGCTACACATATATAATTGGAATGGCTGGACTTGCTTAATTGCTTAATATTTGTGCATATCGGGTTTTTTATTGAGCACGGCGGTTGGTTTGGTTGTGTTGTTGCTTTCCTTTGTGTTTGAGAATGGAGGGACGTGACCAAAGTGCCTTTTATGTAACAGTGCCTGAGGTGACAGATACTGTCCCCTTTGTGTTTAACCGCATAAGAGTAAGTTGAAGGTAGACAAATGGGTTGAGTCAGAAGGCTTACATTGGATACAGAAGAATCAAAGGTGCGCTTTGAACTCCGGTCATTTGTGCATTAACGACTTGAACAAGAGCCCACTCCACCCAAGCCGCCTGTAATTTAGAGCAACGGCTGGCCTGTGACCTCTGCCCTCAGATCTTAAAAAGTGTGCCTGTAAGGAGAAACCTCAACATGAAGTTGTCTTGTCCTGTTAGCGCACCTTGGAATTTAAGAGATCTGAGGATTTCTTTTTCATTTTGTAAACCCCAAAAGCGCTGCATACTAATTGGCTACCTGGCACAAAGAGACTCCTTCCTGACCAGTTTGGTGTGTTTATCTTGATTCATCATTTGAACAAGCATATAGAACCTCAGCACTGTCTGGAACCCATTCTAAGTGGTGGCACCGAATCTCCTTGAACCAAGTCTGGTAAATAGTGCATTTTTTTTCCCATTTCATATATGTTCATTTCTCCTTTTTATACATTCATCTGACACTGGATGGTATTCAGATGACATCTGCAGAATGTAGCCCTTGGTCTTGAAAATCATTTCATACTCGTGGCTTGAAACAAGCAACCTGCCCTCAAGCCAAGAAAGATCATGTTGGATCATGATTTGGAACCGTCATAATGCTATGCTTATACTCCTTTTGCAGATCTCTTTATTTGTCTGCGTTTTTTTAAATCCTTTATAAGAATTAGGCTATGTAAGGCAGATGGCTTTTTACAAATGCCCTTTTTCTTTTGTGTTAAACATCAAAATGCTGTTGTAAATGGAATGAATGTGACTTCGATTTCAGGGAGCCAGCAATTAGAAGAAGTTAATCCTTGTGAGGTTTTTTCCAGCTGTTCTGTTGACCTGGAAGGAAGGGGAATTCCACAGGCAAGTGTTTTTGACACCAGTGTTGCAAGTTACCTTTCTGCATGTGTGCAAATGGAGCTTTTTCCACCTCCAAAATGGGCGGCCACGTCTTGGCAGTCTAGCCCACAGCCCTTTCATCCACTGCGAGTTGGCCAAAGCACGGCACAAGTGTTCGGCTTTCTGCCGCACCAGTCCGTGTGCTCCGGGCCCCCACGAGGCAGCCTGTCTGCCTGCTTACCCCCTGATCCCAAATGCCCAGCAACCCTCACGGTCTGACGTAGAAATTTCTTCGCACAGAAGTGAAGCTAGACCTTCCCCGCCCAGCCAATGCCACCCCATGCCTTTAACACTAAACTGAAATATCCCACCATCCTCTCTCCAGCCCCCCTACCACCACTGCCACATACAAACACACAATGAAGCCTCTTTCATAGATTGGATGATGATGCGTTTAGCTTGCTGCCTTTGGGGCATAAGTGCTTGTTTCTAATTGGTGCGGACCCCTCTGAAACTCAGCTGGAGTGTTGACCTTGGTGTCATGGTTGGGGGGGTGGTTCCTTTTGTCTCTCTCGCTTCTCTTTCAGTGTTGTTGCTCCAAGTTCACTTGTTTCTCAATTCATTTTAAAGTCTTTGATTTTTGGAATATGACCATTGTTTGGCAATGGTACAGCCTTGAAGTCAACTGCTGTTGTTGATGCTGTTGTTTTATTTTATGGAGCTTTTCCCCATCTGAAAGGCAAATTTTCCCCCGCATGCTTAGAATTAAATCAGTGTTTTACACTGGTAACCGGTAAGCATTTGTCCCTTTTCCATCCTCATACATTTTTCAGCTGTTTTCTCAAGGGACTCTGTTTTATACATAACTAATACTCCCTTTTATAATGGCTCACTTTACTGTCCCCGCTGTGGGATTTCCGTAGCTGGAGAAGTGATTGCATTCACTCTGCCTTTTTTTATTTTGGCTACTGCTTTTGATACAGCTCCTCATGTCCGCGTTTAGCGTTTCTTCTTGCTCTTTAGCTTTACCCTACAAATTGTTTCAGACCGGTCACACCACCCAATGACTCCTGTAGTTTGAGTCTTGTTTTTGGCTTGACTCAGCCTTTATCACTTCGGTGAAAGAAAATATTGCAACTTTCATAAGAAATAAATAACATTACGTCAAGTGTCTCGTTCATGTTGAGGAGAGACATTGAGGTTTAACTTTCTGGTGAGTCGCCAGGTGGATGGCACCCATTGTAAGAATCATTTGAAAATGCCTTGCCTGAATTGCACTAAGGTTTTTGCCAAGCTTGTTTGAACTTGGGGTGAATCAGAGTTCTAAATCTTAATGGGCGGAAGTTACATTTCCCTGCCTCCTCTTTTGCTTGAGGCAAGGGTGGTAGCTTGGGGTGTTAGGATTGAGAGTGTGGCTATTGTCTCAGGTTCGGATTGTCAGTCATATCCTCAGGCCAGATATTTAAATGGAAGTGGACAGTGAGATCTGATTTGTGGCCAAGAAACCAGACCTGGGGGAGACGAGCAAAATCAAATTATTCTGGAAATCCTTTCTGTTCTCTTACTTTCTTAATTTTTTCTTCTTTTCCCATTAGACCAAAAAAAACTTGAGTCCCCCCCCCCCCCCAAGAGAAGCACGACTGTGTGGAATTTGCTGCTGTCAGGCATTGTGGGGTTTCCATTCTCTCTGGTATTGTGGAATTCCAGCCCAGAACCCCCACCTCTCCCAACACTTTGCTAACATGCAAAGGGAGATTCGGGGCAAGATAGTTGTCAGAAACCCCCCGTGATGCCTGTGTACTGCAAGACTGTGTTCTGTGCTCCCCAGTTGGAGACTTCAAGTCAAGTCAAGTTTGCATAACCATGGTAGCTGGTATATTTATAGAGGAAAAGTAATAGATACTCTGAAAGGACTGAGTTAAAACATTTTCAAAGATGAAAGTTGAAGTATACCAGTGTGTCCTGTGCAGCAACAACTCACAGCTCTGATATACATTTTTCCTTAATATTGTCTTTCCTAAGACTTTTTTCTTTTCTTTTGGACCAAATGCATTGGTACCCTGGCTGAACCATGCTTTTAATTTACACTTAGCCAAGAGAGCACAGCCTGCTCTCCTTCTGAAGAGCATAGCAGGTAAAGGGATTCTGTGATGTGATTTTTGTGCTCGTGATACTCAGTCAAGTTCAGTTCTTTGCTGACAGATGAAAGAAGCTTTGTCGGTGGGTAAAATGTGTTACGTTTTAGTGCCACAAATTACTTAAATCCTCTGACGGGGCACTTGCCGAGCCTCTGTGACTGATATGTTTCTGATTCACTTTTTCCTGCCAAAGCCTTTATAGATCCTACCTGGACCCTCTTCACAACTGAAATCCGATTCCTTCCTCTGTATGCCTGCTTTATGTTCACTGCTTAATAGTTCAGGAGTCCTCTTCCCTTCTAAACATACGTCCATTACTTTGGTAAGGAAGCTTCTTTGTGTTCTCTGGCGGCTCGACAGGAGATGGATGCAGCTGAAACTCTATATGTGAGCCAGCGATGTGTTTCCCTCACCAGAAAGCTCAGAACAATGAGAAACTCCGCGTCCGAATGGGCAGGACGCTCTCCACATCACAATTCCTGACACGCCGGCCCGAGACGCGCTTCCTGCCGTTGGTGGGCTCCATCAAGCTTTTCACGCGTGGTGTGCCGACACAGGAGAACAGGCGTAGCATTGCAGCTAGCGTAAAATACAGCAATGCGGCGGAAAGCCCTGATGCATGTCAGACATGCCAGAGAGGGGGTGCGTCCAGCAGGCCGCAAAGTACAAACAAAAATGTAAGCTCTTTCCCTTCCAATGCTAAATGTACTTACCAGGTAATAGTAGGGCCACTATACAATAAGGCTACCCATATAAAGTGTTTATGAATGGTTTATAATCTGGTTATTAATTAGGTTGTAACACTTTGTAAATTATTAATAGACAATGTCAAGTTATCCCTTCTTCTTCTGTGCAATTTCCCCAACTTGAAAGGACTAACATCCACTTGGAGGTATAACTGGATTCCACTCGACAGACAAGGCAAAACCCGCTATTTCTTTTATCCTTATTTCCTTTTATTTGGATCTCAGCAAGGTAACCAATGTTGCCACCAGATAAAATAGTCAGGTAGAAAACCTTTAAACAAACAAGAAAAGAAACAAACCCCAAACTATTACATACATATGAGCATAACAGATGGACAAATTAATATGCAAATGCACGTACAAATACAAATATTAACCCCCTGGGGTCTGAGGCTTCTTTTCCACTTTCGGGGTAGTCTGACATGCTTTGACATTTCAAAATATTTCACATCTAATATTTCACCTATCTAAAAAA